AAACCCTCACTAGGTGGGGGGTAAGAATCCGGGATCCTGCAAAGAAAGCTCCGCAGGAATCGCTGGCATAGATGTTCAATGAATAGAACAGTATTGTATTGTGGTGCCGTACGACCCGGTTCGGTTCATGGGGCTTCAGCTATCAAGTGGGCTTCATACATAAAATTGATAAGAAATTATTAAAAAAAAGGTTAGAATATTTTATTATAGAGCCTATGTATGAGTGAAATTATATTATTAGGTTTATGTTAGCTATTCATTACCGTAAACTCCCACTGGTTTCAAATTAGGTAGTCCCGTCTGAGAAGAACTGGAAAAACAAACTCACAAGAAAGTAATAGCTTGCTTTAACTTTATTTTTTATAGATTTTGGTTTCGCAGTCTTCTAAACAAAAAAAAAGAGAAAAACCAAAATGCTTCAATTAAATTCGGGCAAAGATTGAAGTCCAGCATGAACCTTAATTCGTCAATAATTATTATACCTTTTTTCGTTATTATGTTTTATTAGGTTTATTAATTTTATCTGGTTTATTATGGTATAAATACACCTTATTTCGAATTTCATCTTCTATCGATGTCAATGTCAATGTCAAGTCAAAGTGACAGTGACAATTATCTGACAGATAGTGATTCCCGTAATACAATCGATAAATAGTGATATTTTTAAACTAACACATGTACAAACAAAAGTAATTTGGTTATTTAACTCTTGTGCACCAAGTCTTATAACAAAAGCCCTCCGCTCCACTTACTAAGAAGTGCAGTGTTGTGAAAATAATTGATTTAAGCGGAAGACTAAACATCTTTATTTCTAAGTCATTCTAATTACTATTTACTTGAATCCACCTGATCGTTGGTAGATTACAATTTATTGTTTTTTTATGAACTTTAGTTATCTAACTCAGAGTGATGTCATAGTTGCGAGAAATAGCCTTTTAGAATTCTATTTTTGTAAGTATTTATACTCTCAATGCATGCAACGTGAGTAATATTACAGTCCATATGATTGCAAATTGTCTGCGGCTTCTTGCGAGAACAGAATAAATGGAACTTTTCTGTGGAAATGAGTTGAAATTACTGAACATTTCTATTGAAAATAAAGTATAATAAAGTCTATGTTCGAACATTACAGTCTTCGAATGAATTCAAAATAATCAATTATAATAAACTAATAATTACAATATAAATACAGGGAATGGAATAGGTACAAATTTACTTTTATAAATTGTCATTAATTATGTGTGTGAACACAAATAGAATAAAATAATCAATTGTGCTTAAATCAAATACCCATGACTTTTATACGTGACTAGGCCTTTCCCAAGGATGAAATCGAATCAAATCGAATAGGGAGAATGGGCTATGACCCACCACGGGCCCAAAGCAAATGGACCAATTCGAAGCGCGGAGTTATGCTAAAATGTTTCTTGGATTTTTTTGGAATAATTAATTATTGTGTAGACACTAAGCGAAAATATTTTTTTCTTTTTTCGGGTAGTGTTAATAAATAAATACTATATATATTACCCATAAACACAATTTTATGATTATATATATTGCAAAAATTAATTATTAAAAAACAAATATTTTATGATCGTTGTCACGTGATCTTAAATGGCGTGTAACGTCATGCCATTCTTACTCATATTGAACTTAAAGAATTCAACCTTATGCGTACATTGAACGATATTAGTTTCATAGGGCCATGACGTCAAAGCGACCATGACAGTGCAGCGTTTGCACGGGAATTTTTGAAAATTAAATTTATTTTTAGATTTAAACTTACTATATTTTAACGAATTATATTTTTAAAAATATGATTTCAGACATATTTTATGTATATGTAAAAAATAAAAATATAAAGTTGTCATCAGTCCTATTCCAAAATAAACTTTGCAATCTTATTAGAATGCTAGTGTAAATACGGACATACAAACACTCAGGCAAGCAATAGATTATTATGCTAATTACAACTTCAATTTCATAATAATATTCGTAAAATTAAGATTAATGGTGATACATTTTTAATTTTCATTTAAAACATGAAAATTAAAAATGTATCACCATTAATACTGTCAATTAACATTACTTAGGGATTTGAGCGATAAACAAATTTAAATTTAATATTATGACATACTCATTATATTTTTTAATTTTATTTAAAGTGGGCCACGAATTTCATTTAATTTCATTTAAAGGTGAACGAGTGGTAGGGAAAAAAATGTTGGACGATTCAAAAGTACTTTTAAAGAGTCTATTTGAATAAAGATTATTTTGACTTTGACTTTACCAAGAGATTTTAAAACAGAGGAAAGTTGAAATAACCCCGACTTCTAGAAATTTAAAAACTGTCAGCAAGTTGGCATCGCATAACAACTGCAACTGTTTCTGTTAACATGCGAGTTGGTATATACTCCTAGTATATACCAACTCGCTAACGGTTTCTAAATTTCGAAAATACTGAGCTTCAACTTAACTCTGTTTTGAAACCCCTTCCAACCATCATTGGATTAACTTAGAATGTGCCAAACTTTAAAAATACGCTCGAAAAGGCATTTCTTTTTTTTTAATAAAATTTTTACAAATAAGAATTCAGGTTGGTAGGTCCGAAGATTCACTAGTCAAATAATAAAATTTACTAACATACGAGCTTTTACAGTGACATATACTTATTCTGGCTGTAAATACCGTGAGAATTAAAAATAAACAAAATATTACTTTTGAATTTCGTATCTATCATTTATATATTTATGTATGAACGTTCATTGTCTTTTCCTATTTTCGCACTAATACGTTATAAAATATTTTGTGATATTAAAATGAAGTGGGGTGATAGAGTGAACCGTATCACTGTCCATTATGAATGTAGGTATGAAGTCAAACACAATTTTTAAAACCCTCCATACGCTTGGTATTAGTCTAATGTTTATGTACCGGGATAGGTACAATGAAAAAAAGTGTTCGTACGAAAAAGGCGATCAAAACAGTAAGGAAAAACATTTAAAGATATCCTGGCAAAAGATTTTATATTGGGAGATGAAGGTAGCACCTAGAACCATGTCGCGTATTTAAAAGATGATTTTGAGCTTGCAGCCTATAAGTGATGCACTGATCAGTTCTTAACAGATAATTTAAAAAAGAATAGGATGGGGAAATCAAAACAACTACTTAATCTGAACGCAAACAATTATTTGTTATACGGATGATTTTTTATGGATTTTTGCAATTAAGCAATATTTTGATAAACATATGACCGACCATATTATGCTCTAAGCTTTAAAGACGCTTTACATTACAACAGAATATAATGGGTATTATTACAAATGGGTATTATTTGACTTCGGTGATGGTTTTGGTGTTAGCGACGAAAGAGTGACCGAGACATATTTTTGTGAAAAAGGCATCAAGACATAATTATGGCATAATTGTATTACATATTGTATTAAGGTAAACGTGAGAAAAATCAGTTTTTTTTTTCTTGAAAAACGTAAACAAGTTGAATAAACGATCAAATTATAGCTATTGGATGGACGATTACGCGATTTACAACTGGTCTTTTTGCAATTCTAAATACATCACTAATCTATAAAGTGTTACAATAAGAAGAATTTTGAAAAATAACAGTTTCGTATAATAAAAACATTATTAATATGGATATTTTTTTATGTCGCCTTTCTCACGAGTCGTAAAAATGTCTAACTACTTATCTGATTAATAATTTTCTCTTTCAATTTCACTGGCAGTGGTAGTATTTAAACATAAAATTTAATCATCAATAAAATATTATTATATTTGATAAATTTTGGATATCAATTAAATATTAATTAAGAATATCATTAAGTATTTAAAAAAAATACATGCTCGATTTACATTACATCTATTATGTTAGACATAATATCTATCACTACAGACTAAAATCTATGCGATACTGAAAACTTACTTACGGGCACTTTATTTCTTCTTTAACTTTAAACAACAATTAATCGCCAAATAATAATACTCAAAAGCATTTTTTACTCAAAAAAAAGTTTAAAAAACTTTTTAACGTAGCTGAAAAATAATTATGTCATTTAAAACCGTTAACACCAGAGATGATCTCTGTCAGAAATTCGTAACCTTTTCGATTTTTTTTTGTAATATAATTTATGTTCATAATTATTTTAATTGAATTTGAATAGATAAATATTACATTTTATTGCGGAAGTAGAAAAAGATTTAATAAGATTCAATTCATAATAAGGTTCTATTACAGACTTGTTAGATGGACGAGAAAGTAGTGTCAGAAATTGCTACGCTACGTTATTTAACTATTTAATGTAAATAAAAAATCTGTAACATGTTCACATAAAAATAATCTTCATAATTTTAATACAAGAATTAATGATGAAATAACTGTTCTCAATTTCAGATTTCAGAAAAAAACATGGTAATTTCTGGGTATCGATATTTAAAATAAAACCTACAAAATATAGTAGGAATTCAAAAATATTTTTTTTTGTCAAATAAATACTTAAATATGGAAGTTGACTAATAAGATATTAACTTGCAATCATTAATTTTTACACAGAACATTTTCGATATACGTTTATGGAGTAATTTAAAAATAGAATGCTCGGAATGCAGCAATCGCACGATTTTATTTTACATTTAAACCTATTCTTAACAAACTTGTTAATAATCAATTCATCACAATTCATTTTAAAATTATCCGCTGTCTATTTTACTGTTCAAGCACATGCTCAACTTACTATCTCTTTTAGATTTACTCTAACAAATATATTTTGTAATGTTAATTTAGTTCTGAATTAATGTCTAATAACACTTCCTTTAAAGTACGTAGTCACAAAAGAACACCTTGACAATAAGTTTGTGCAAGCTTCAAAGTAGTTATGAAAATTCTAAATGGTTGACAATCTCTGTCCAAAGTCAAACGGAACGGTTTCCTCTTATAAATCGAGTGACGCCTGTCGATCACTCACACCCATTGTCAACCTTTCACGATGTCACAACGTTTTCAAGTAACGGTACTTATCGTTTTCCGATCGTTAATTCATAGTTTTATTTCATGTTAATCTTAATCGTAAGACGGTAAAAGTGATCGCGTCCCTTAGTGTTCACAAAGTGAAAGTGTTATGTGGTTTTACTGTAGTTATTGGTTTGTGTACTAAATTATGCAATGGACGCCGAAATGATTGTTATTTATATTACACTGTCGATTCTGTAATGCTTCGGCGCCTTCATATTTATAATAAACAAAAATAAATAGATATCACTCGAGTAATTAATGCTGTCATTTGATTAAAAATATGTTTAAAAACAAAGTAATCTATCATAAAAAAATGCAATGAATATTTATCCTAAAGGTGGATCTTCAAGAAACCACTTCCTATTTCAATAGAAGTTGATTGATAATATTATACGCCTTTGAGATAAGAATTAGTCGAAGTCAATTTTAAACAATATTTTTTTTTATTATTATCCAAGATTAAATATTTTATACGCGATTTTGTTTACCTAAACACATAAATATGCCGATTAAACAATTTGTTATTATTTGAAAGAATTCTTCCAGTTACTCTGTAGTTTGATTTTATTTTGAACAAGCACTATGAATTTCAATTAATATTCAATTAATAATGTCTACAATTTACGTATAACTAAGGTTAATATCGAAAAATAATCGAATATAGAATGTCCTTTTTGATTCTGAAATCTGTTTTAAACAAAATTGTTAGCGATTTCTGAAATTATTGTTTCTAACTAACTTAAGCCAAGCTGGGTAGATCAAATTAAAAAAAAAGACTAAAATGTTTGAAACATTTATTTTGTTGACAATTATATTATTTTCAATCAGGAGTTGAACTTTATTTTGCCAAGGAGAGGCAGGTGACCAAGTTTGTTGTTTCATAGGTCAAGGGCCCCAAATAGAACAGTGTATTTTTTAATTTTGGGAATAATTTATTGAATAACAAACTGTAATTCTGTGTTTAATAATTTATAATTTAAATAATAATTTCGTTATTTACAAACAAAACGTCAATTTAAATCAAATAACATTTTAGACATATTTATATTTTTGTCACAAAAAATTAGTTAATATTACATTTTGTGGACAGGTAATAATCAATACATAGTATGAAATAAAGTCGCTTGCCATCTACCTGCTTTTGCTTAGATCTTTAAAACTATGGAACGGATTTTGATGCGGTTTTGTTAAATACATAGGGTTATCCAAAATGAAGGTTTTATGTATAATACTCGGGCGAAAAGCTTGTATTGTTATATTAAAGAAACTACGTAATTGCCTCCTACATTAATATGTATAACAAATTAAAAAAATAAGATTGGCGTCGCAATTTTTAAATATATTCCATTAGGTAAATAATTATATTGTTGTAGAATATGGAAATTATGTTTAACCATAGATAACTCCTACTTATAAAATAAAATATAATAATTTTATTTCGCTAACACTCTTATTGCTTGCGTAAGCTTTAATGTTTTTCCATAGTAAAATATAATTATACTTCTATAACTATATATTTTTTTGTACAATTATATAGTATATAGATACTAATGATACTACGGGTAGAATATAAAAGTTAAATTTAGTTATCAACAGAATTAAAACGCGGTTTGTCAGTAACACAACCAAATTTAATGTATTGTATGTCATAGACTTACTACCTGGTTTTCATCGGTTCAGATTTCATGTTACTTTTGGACTTTCTAGACTAGTTTAGTTATCAAATTAAGATTCAGATGACTAAGATGATTTCACGTTACCGTTATTAATAAGCTATGAAACTTCAACATCAATTTCATGAGCAATGTTTGCTCTACATTTTGTTTATACATTTTTTTTTTCTTTTCAGAAATGGCTTTGGTTCCTTATAGCTATATATTCAGGACCAACACTAAGTCCAGTAAGATGTGTATCAGTAAAAACCCCACCGAAAACCCCATCTACAGTTGAGGCTCAAGCTAAATTTTTCCAGTAAGTTATCACACAAATTTATGTCAACGCAAGTTCAAGAGCATACGAAATGAAATCGTAACTAGCACCAAACAAAAACTTAATTACATTCCAACTGACCTTTGCATAAATTAAATACAAACGCCTAATTTCAACATTAAAAATTTTTGATCAAGGTTAAATATAAAAGTGAATAGGTAAAAATTTACTTTTATAGGGATTTTTTCTCAGTACAGTTGAGTCCGTACAAGATAGAGTTCGGTCACGTATGCGAGGACCCTAACACATGGGAGCAGCGGTATGAGAAGAAAGACTATAAGAACCACAGGGATATGGGAAAAGTAAAATAAACATATATATTTACACTATCTGTCTCTTCTTGTCTCTAACTTCTGTTGTTTCTTTCCTTGTCGCGCTTCGCTTGGCTTGGCTGAAGGTATAGGCACTTGCCTACGACAGAAGACTTCGACCAGGGACACAGGCTGGGCAGCGAACGTCACTTCACGGAGCGACACGAAAGGTCCAGACCTTCGGAAGGACTTTTTTCCGCTAAAGTATGCTTCTCCTGCTTTACCATTTGAAGCCTCGTTTCTTAAAATACCGTAATTCCATCATGGACGTTGTCATTTAACACATGTCATTAAATATTACAAAGGAAATAAGGCTTCAATGATGAATTAACTATCAATTAACTATTCTTATTTTTTTTTAACAAACAAAAAGAGTTCTTCTCTTTTTCTTTAATTTGTTATTAATATTTCATGTTCTGCAGACATACAAAACTGGTGCTTCTTATTGTCATAACATATAATGAAAAGCCGCAAGCATTTAACAATGTCCTAACTTTCTTTCTTCTGTACTAAAACAGATTAATGTTTATTTAACAAATATATACGAGTATATACAAAATATTACCAATAGCAGTACTCGTCATAATAATACATTTGTTGTTAACTATATAAATATATTTTAGGTTCGATGGGGAGATAAAAAAGGGGGATACGGCGAACATTATTGGGATTTGAATCATGCAGGCCACGCTGGAAACCATGGCGGTGACGATTATAGTGGCAACAATCACTCCGATGACGGCTCGTACCATGATCATGACGATAGCTCTCCTAGCACCAATTACGAAGGCCCCAGTGATCACTCATACGGTACCGATGACTATGATCCAGAGAAATCCAGTTACGAAGAAAACGGCCGAGCAAAGAGGGCTTACCCTAAAATAAAAGCCGAAAGAACACAAAAAATTCAACAGCAAGATGAAGATGAGCAAGAAGAAGAAGAAGTACGGCCTAGAAATCGTAAACACAAACAACAGCAAGAAATAGCACATGATGAAGATAGTGACTCAGAGGATGAAGAAAACGAACACGAAGAGGTCGAGGAAAAGGTTTATAAGAAATCTAAACGTCCCCAACACAGACAAAAGCAAGACAACGTTGAAGATAATCCTGAAACACCTCCTAAAGAACCAAAGAAAAAAGTAGTCCTCGTCGTACAAGAGAAAGAAAACCAAGTGAAGAATCAATATGTTCCGAGCGTACCCACTAGGCAGTTGGATTATACTAAGTACGTCCCATATGAGGGTGGTGCGGGAGTGAGACAGCACCATCATCCTGAAGTGGTGGCTGCAGCTTCTGTACCGAGATTGTTCTTAGAACCGACTACTGGTCACGTCGTGGACCGAGCGACGGGTCAGGCTTACGTACTGCAGCCTATTGCTGCTCTCGGATACAATTAGAAAGTTCCAGCGAACTACTTTAGCTTTTAGTTACGTTATAGTTATTTATTTTTTTAATTAAAGAACTGTTCATTTGTTATTTGTTGTTTCTTTATAAGTCTCTCAATATTACCGATAAGTGTATCTCGTCCCTGGTGATTCTGATAGTTGTATTAAAATGAGCCTTTTTACTGAATTTTGGTGCCTTACTTATATTACAACAATTATTTTTATGAGACGCCTATTTTTTATTTTAAAATATATTATTGCTAAATGCTAGACCACAGTCCTACTGCTGGAATACTTATCTATAAAAAATCATTATTTACATAACAAAGATACAAATGTATATCACATTATTATTTATCTACGTAAACTATAGAGTAGGTAAGAAACTACAGTTAACATAAACAATCACTATGAACAGTATTCCAAACAATTTAATAAAAACTATAAAGACACATTTTAATAAAAATATAAAAAAATATACTTGTATAATATTTTTGAACATTCTACTTGACGGACAAACAAATAAAAATTAGTCGTCATCCCTATTTGTACATCATCGAAAATAATCGATTACCTACCATAACTTATTTGTATAAGACCTTCTTAATATATTAATCTTTCTCATGATTTAAGTAAGTAGATAGGTACTGTGTACGAAATAGAGATCGCATATTATAGAGTCGAAGGCGGCAGACTTTTCTATCAAATGGTTTATTTAATTACTTTTTGTAATAATTTCCAGTTAACAGGTTTTACCAGCATCAGTGCGGTGTATGTGTGCGATGGTTGGTTGGATGGTGTATGGTTGTAAACGAAAAATTCTAAAATACCCTCTTTCTTTCACCTTTAACGCGAAAAACAAATAAATATTTATTAATAATGCTAAGCTACAGTAATGTTTTTTTCTTGCTGTTATTAACGTAACCTATTTCAATTTAATGGTCAGCGATGGCAATGCACTTGCTTAAGTTCATTGCTCTGGACTGGATAGTATTATGAAATGGAATCTGTGCGTATGCAGCTGTAAAGTACCTCTAGGTATTTACATTAAACAGCAATTGAATGGTAAAGTACACTACACAAACGGTAAAGTGTATTAATAAAATTTAGTCTGTAATAAAAGAAATCAAAAAAGAAATTCGACGTATTAACAAAAGAATTAACTCTTTTTGTAATTTTTAATATTGTATTGGAAAGCGGCTTCATACTCATATGAAGTCATTTTTTAAATTGTACATCTCTATATGTAATAAAACAGGGAGAAGAAAACAGCCCTTGCTAAATTTCATGCCGTTATTTCTCAGTACCCCGCCGAAGATTTAGCTTAGCTTTCAATATTCACAAGTACGCAAGCCTAGACTAAATAAATAGGTAATATTAAAAAATTAAAGCTCAATTATCGTTGATCTTACCAACAAATGTATTTATGGACTTTGTTTTTGGTGATTTTCAACATAATCAATTTCACAATAAGTGCCGGGCAGATATTTTTTGTTAATTCAGAACATTAGTAGTAGTAGTTAGAACAGAACAATTTAAAATTCACGAACTAAAAAAATGCTTCAAAATTAAGCAAATTATAATGGTACCGGCACGATTTGGATCAGTAACATATGAAAAATTATCCATGTTCTTTTGATTTAAACGACATTATTTTTATAGTTTTGTAAACTGGTTCATTGACAGTGGTTTTGGCATAAAGATAATGATTCATTTGTCTGTGAAAAAGTATACTAATATTCGAAAGTATTCAATTAAATAGCATCCTTCATGGAGTCCGTCTAGCAAGGAGAATGCAGTCGTTAGTTGCCATACCAGTATTTATATATTATATCTATGGTTGCCGTTTTAGTAAAGGCTTGCTGAAGGTTGGTTATGTGGCAGGGGCACGCAAGGGTCACTGTTGTGCCCTTTTCTCACGCTCACACTAACCGACACGAATTTCAAAGAGGATCCTTTTGTAATAAATAGTGTTTTAGAATCCATAATATTTTGCGTATGGTATTTGCCTATACATCTTTAGGTTGAAATTGTTGAAGTTTACATTTATGATAAGTAACATGAATCAATAAAAAGTATTTCGATTTGCAAAATTAAAGAATTGTTTTTGTGCTAATTAAATATTGATAGCCGAATTATGATCAATGCGGTAATGAGGAAGTTTCATGATAAAGGTATTATTATATTTAATGTAATGAAGATATAGGTCAAAACTTAAATATATAAAAAAATAGCTGTAAATTATTAAGACGCACGCACACATAAGCTGTCTACCTCGTGGAGTGCAATTATGATAGCGAGCCTAACTTTAAACTCGCATTTATTATTTTTATTTATGTAAGAATATCCTTCTACGGTTTTATTTCAATTTGCTCACTGTTTTAAAGCTTAATTTAAAAACTCCGGAGTGGGGTCGTCGTTGGTGGGAAGGAATATACTCTGGTAGAATATCTAAGAACTACTTAGGACCTAAGGTAGTAAGCTAGCATTAGCAAATTAAAACGGTTATATAAACGTATACATAAATAAGCACCTATAAATGTCAAATTGTTTTTGGAATTTATAGGAATTGTTTTTAGTTAAAACAATTACACGAATAATATTAACGGTAATAAAAAAAAAGATAACTGAATAGTTTTGTATAATTTGATGTGCTGTTGACCTTAAGTAAAAATTCAATTCAATATCCTGCAAGGATTTTGTGACTTATTGTGCCTTATACACTTTTGCAACCCCACAGATAAAGAAATAAAGCTTTGAGCGATTGCTTTTTTAACACTACACTTGTAATCGTAATTATGTAGCAAATAAAATAAAGCGGAAAGCTTTTTTTAGTTTTGACACAATATTTGTGTGATTAAAATCAAAATCTTAGTGAATTAAAATCACTCAGTTAAGTACTTGCATATTAAACGAGATTTTTACTATAAGTATTCTACATAATATACGATTTCATAGCTAGGTAGTGTAATGGATAAGCACCACAGCCCGCGATCGTTTTGTCAAGCAACTTTCGCAAGGTTCGGTCACGGGATGGGTGACAATTTTTTTTTAATTTCGAGCTACTCCGTTCTTCGGAAGGCACGTTAATTCGTTAGTTCCGACAGCATTTGCAGTCGTTAACGATCCGCATTGTGAAAGCGTGGAAGGTCATGGCCCATCCTCCTTAGCCATCCCGAAGCCCCTGCAATGGCGGCGTAAATGTGACGATGATGATAATAAAACGGTATCAGTTACATTAATGTTCACATTGGCCGATAGAGCTTGCAATCGGAATGCGGACGATTTTACATAGACATAGTAAGAGCTTTAATATACTTGTATTATTTCGACGTGCTCATGGACCCACATAATTCTGATGACGTTTGTTTTGCGAGATAAAGCATATATAAATAAACACAAAGGAAACAAAATAATTTAAATATTAATAACAATTTCACATCAATTTAGTTAAGAACAAAACATTATGTTAATGTAGTTCCCGACAGGTATTCACAACAAGGGGTGTCCAAAATGGACCCTCATCTCGCGCATATTACGGGGTTCGATGGGGATGTAAATGCGCACGCGTCGAAAGTAACCAGAAAAAAAGATTAGTTTAGGGTTCCCTTTTTAAAATCACCAGCATCTCATACTGTTTACATTTCTGTTCGTATTTCATCACCTCTTTCGTGTAGAATGTTCGAATAAAATATGTCAAGGAATTCTATAGAAACTGCCCATTGTTATAATTTAAGAATTATTTAAGATACATAATGAAACTTAATATTTTTTTACATTGTAATTAATTAATCAGTCGTTTTCTTAAACTTAAGTACAGAAATATTTTCATCGATTTCTGCTTTTTTAACTCCAAATTAACCTAAACCCTAGCTAGCACCAATTCTATACGTTCCTAGGGCATAGTATCTATCTAGGTTTCAAAATTGTAAGTTAAAAATTAAAGACACTATGTAAATTATTATTTTTTATTATTTTCATTCACAATGCTATACTGAAAATTATTCTTAATACAAAATGCTTAAAAAATCCACTTGGTCCCTGGCACCCTGAGGTGGGAATCGAACCCACAACCTTTCGCAATGCGGGCGACTGCTCTGACTGACATAAACTAAAAATGTTTACATACAGACCTCACAATATGTTGATATATAAAAAAAAACAATAATATTAAAGAAACCATGTCAAAAATTTAATATAAGCTATATTATACTCTAACATTACCTTTAGATACAGTGTAATTAATACAACCCAAATTTATTATTAAAAAATATTATTATTTTATTATTAATTGATAATCCGCCATTTTAGTTTGCTTTATCTATGATTAATCGCCTCATTTTTCATTTATTTAATTAAAAAGCTACTCATTATGATAAAGAGCATTATGATTTGTTAATGCAAAACGTCGTTAAGGATTTAAAAAAAAAATCATTTTTTTTCATACAAAATTTTGTCAAATGATTTTATTATAGAGTTAATAATTTAGCTAACTATTATTATGATATTGCAACAATGTGACGTCTCTTAGATCGATCGAATCTTCGAGTATTCATTGTTTAAGCAATGATTGTACAGTCGTAAAAGGTAAACATGTTCTCACGGAACAAAACGTTTTTAATATCTAATCTTAGCGAAATAACCGTTGTCACGTATCAAAGGTAGACCATAGGACACCCTGTCCACCCTTCAACATAAACTTGTTTGACCAGATCCACGTGGGAACCGTACAACTATTGTCCACTAGCCCTTACGCAACTTTGACGGGTGTTGTCCTACACTTGTTCACCTGAGGGTAACTCACAAAGGGTATCTTTTTATATGTGATTCACGGCTACGTGGATCAATTTTAAATTTCATCTTAAATGTTAATAAATTTTGTTAAAAAAATTTATTATATATAGTTATTATAAATTTATTTAATGTGTAGGTTTTAATGTTCAACAACTTTAAAAAATTTTAATTAGCTACTGCTATAGTTTGTACTTAAGTACTTTAAGTCCTTGAATAATAAATACCTTTAATAAAAATGAAAATAAATAGCAGTACTAGTATCGAAGATTATTAGATTAGTATTATTGATTTTAAGCTAGTTTATAATTTTAATGACGTAAATACATCCTTCTCTATTAGGTAGATATGTAAAAGTGTTTATTAAATACATTGAAATGTAAAAATAAGTTACATATAAAACGTATAATCATTATTTGTTTTACTTAAAATATTTTCTCTTTAATTATAATATATTTTTTGTGTAACTAAACCAATACGATTCGAATTAAATTAGTATAATAACAACGATATTATCAAATATATTATAAATAAAAATATTGCTCAGCGAACGTTAAGACCGTATGTCACTTCAATATAACGATTGCGAATACATGCAAATAAAGGGTCATCTATTACTGCCCTTTCCCACATAAGGAAGTGGTCAAACTGGTTTTGGACTCCGGAAGAACCCTTGCCAATTTAGGACAAAGGACCAAAGGACATTGGTGTCTTAGAAGTCTATTGTCCAAAACTAGTATGACTGGTTTGAGGTCATGAGAAAACTTTGTATTAGTGAGACTTCCTAACTGATAAAGTATTTGATTATATGGGATCCTTAAAAAGTTCGTATTTTTATTTGTTACAAGTCTAGCATATGAGGTAGGCAGGTACCCAATGTTATCTTTGTGTAGTTATTTATATAATTAGATTTTGTATTTGTTTTTTCAGGTAATGAGTCTAAATATTTTGTAAAATTATAATTATAATTATTATCACAGCTTTATCGATTTTTGTGAACATTGCCACGTTATTATAGGTAAGTAGAGGAAGGAAGCAAGAAGTTATGTAATTATGTATCGAGATTAAAGTAAAAATAAAATAACTTTGTATCGATTATATTTAGGAACAACTATACATAACCATGAAGTGTACATTATATGATATTTGTTAAACTTA